GAGGAAATGGAAAAAGTGGGAGATACTGGTGGACGAGAAGGAGGAGGGGAAGGTGAAAGCAGAGGTGAGATGAAAAAGAAGGGAGAAGTTTAGAAGAATATTAAAGAAGTTGGGAGGCAAGAGGAGATGGAAGAAGAAGAATATAGGAAGGAGAAGGAAAGTGGAGTTGACGAAGAAAAGAGGAGAAAAACGAGGAAAGAAAATAAAATATAAGGCGGAAATAAACCGAAAACACGCAACGCAAGGAGAGGCCAAAGGAGGGAAGAAGGAGAAAAAGAAGAGAAACAAAAGGAAGAAATGGAAGTGAGGAGCGTGATGTTAAAGAAGGAGAAAAGGCAGAGGAATGGAAAGTTAGTTGGAAGTAAATGGAAGAAGAAGGAGATAAATAGAACTAACAGCACACACGGAACACAGAAGAACGAGACAAGAATGGAAGGAAGGTAAAGAATTAATAGCACAAGAAAGAGATAGGAAGAGGAAGCAAGGGGAAGAGGAAAAGTAGGGAGTATTGGCTACACCCTGCAAATATATTAGGAAAATTTAAATGGACATTTACACCATTGCGGATTCAGCAAACAAAATAAAAACATGACTAGAATTTATTCATTGTATTCGAAAAGATTGTGTGAAGCTTGAAAACAAATGACACCGTTAAACGCATTTTTATGACATGAAGCCACAAATTCAAAGAGAAACCTTGAAAAAGGGTTAATGTATTTCAGTACAGGTTCATACTAGACTACTTTTATCTTGGCTACACTACCGACTGCTCACCCTGTCAACTACAATATAACTACACATAAATTAATTAATAGAATATACAAAAGATTTCTATACATTTCAGTGTATCAAATATCAATGTTGCCAAATGTACAAACCCTCTATATATTAATGAAATACTAGTGTAAATGTCACCTTATTATATACATTTGTTATGACATTCGTTGAGTGATCATATTTGTGAGACTCTTTTTTTTGAGTAGTACTATGCTATACAGTGCTGTTATTCTTAAGCTACAAAATGAGCTAGATCATCAGACATGAACATATATCATGATTGTCATCATAGTTCATACAAGTACAATTCGAGCATTACTACCGTAATTCACCACTAACCCCCAAATCATTCTTCATCGCATCCGTAGGAGTGCATGACATTTTCTAGACAATAACAACTTGAGAATACGCATTCTATTACTACATTTCAAGTCATAGTCCTACTAGCTTCACTGCTAAAAACAATAGAAAAGAAAAGAAAATAAAAGAGTTTCCAAGGGAGATCCACCCTTAACAAAAAACTAATGAGTGTATTTAGGGGCTCCTCTCGACCGTACGATAAATACCCCTTGGTCTCATGGACTACATCTTTTCCCTTAATCTACGTTCTTCTCTTGTCTCAATTCCTCTCTCTCTTCTCTTCTCTCTCTCATCCTCTTCTCTACTCCCTCGCTCCTACGTACGCTCTCCTCTTCAGTCTCATGCGCCCCCTCTAATTATCCTCACAGCCTCCTCTCATCTCATCTTCCCATTCATCTATCCCTCCTTAATCTCCTCGACCTCTCTCTGCACTCTCCTTCTCTCTCTCTTTTCTTACTCTTCTCTCTGTCTCATCCTCTCTCTCTTGTCTCTTCCTCTTAGTCCCTCCCTCCGGCCTTGCTCAGTCGTCTTCGGTCCCCTGCTCTCTGTCTTCCCTCTGTTTCTCTTCTCTCTTACCCTTTACTATCCTCCATCTCTCCCTCACCTCCTCTCATCTTCTATCCTTCCCCATTAACACTAGGCTTCCTCACCTCTCTTTCCTTCTCCACTCTCTACTCTTCCACCTCTTACTTACCCTCCCTTCCTCCTCTCTCTTTCTCTCCTTCACCCTTGCCTCTCTTTTCCTCTCTTTCTCCCTCTCCTCCCTCTCTTTACTCTCTCCCTCTCTCACTCTCTCTCTCCTCTATACTTTTCACTCTTTCCCTCATATACTCTCTTTCTCTCTCTCTATCCTATGCTCTTACCTCCATCTCTCTTCCTCCCTCCTTCCTCTCTTTTCTCTTTCCTCTCTTCACTCTTCCAATCTCTTTCTCCCCTACGTCTCTCTCCTAACTCTTTCTCCTCTCGCCTCCCTCTACCTCTCTTCTCTCTCTCTCCTTCATTCTTTCTCCTCTGTTCTTCGCTCGCCGTGTGTCGTCGTGTCCGTGTGCCCTGTGCTGTCGGAAGCCTGCGCGATGTGTGTCTTGTGCTTTGCCACACCTAACTCTTTAGGATATAAGAGGGGTGATAGCGCCCCTTATCGGTTTTGTGCTGCTCTAGATAATCCCTGTCAAGGATGACATAGACTCTGAGGGGTCGCGGCGGCTCTGTGGGGTGGGCTGGTGGGGTCGTTCGGGGGCACGTTCGTGGGTCCATGTTGATACCCCGTGGCTGGCTGGGGTGGGTGGGGGTTAGGAGGGGGGGTGGGGGGAATGGGGGTAGTGTGTTGTTGCCTCTGTTGCTCGGTTTTGGGGTTTTCGATTTTATTTTTGTTATTTTTTGGGAGGTCTCTTTTGGTTTCTTTGCGTCTCGTTTTTTGTGTGATGGTCTGTTTTGTGTCTCTGTCTGCCTTTCTTTTCTTTCTTTCTCTCTCTCTCTGTATCTCTCTTCTACGATCTCTCTCTCTCTCTTTCCTCTCTCTCTCTCTCTCTCTCTCTTCTCTCTCTCTCTCTCTCTCTCTCTCTCTCTCTCTTCTTCTCTCTCTCTCTCTCTCTCTCTCTCTCTCTCTCCCTGTTCTCTCTCTTCTCCCACCTCTCACTTTTTCTCTGTCTATCTGTCTCCCTTCCTTCCACATCCCTCCTGCATCTATATTTCCCCTCCCATATGCTTCTTTCCTGTCCCACTATTTTTCTGTTCTGATTTCCGCCCTTGATTTCATTTCAATTTTTGTTACTCTCTTCTTATTGTTTCCTGTATTCTCTTATCTTCTCTTATTTCCCCATTCCCCATCTTTTCTCTCGTCTTTCTTTTCTCTCTTTTTGTTTATTTTTTAGCCGTTATGGATCTGATTATGAAATAGACCAAATTTTCGAGTTTTTATTCATCTATTTATTTATTTCGGTTACTGCAATCAGTGACCATTTATGTCTATTTCACTTCTTACCTCCTTTTACTTCTTTTTATCTCGTCTTTCTTTTCTCATCCCTCGTCTTCCATTACTCTTTTTTTTCTGCTTGTCTCCCTTCGTCTCCCTCCTTTTCCATGTCTTCTGCTTCCCTCCTTCCTTTCTCTTCCCGCCCCCCCCTTCCCTTCTCCTTCTCTCTTTCCCCTCTTTAACCCTCCATTTCTCCTTCCTTGTTTTCCCCCTATCTCCTCTCTTTCTCCCTTCTTTTTCCCCTCCCTCCTCCCTCCGATTTCCCGTACCTCCTCCATCTCTTCCACTCCCTTCCCTCATCCTTTTCCCCTGCCTCCCCTCCCTTCCTCCTCCTTTTCTTCTCTTTCTCTTCTTCCTTTCCCCTCCCTCCCTCCTTTTCCACTCCCTCTCCTCCCTTTTTTCTTCCATCCTTCCTTCTCCTTTCCCCCTCCCTCCCTCCTTCCTTTCCTCCTCTTTTCCCTACCTCTCCCCTCACTTTCACACCCCTCCTCCCTCCCACTTTTCCCCTCAGTCCCTCTTTCTCTTCCCTTCTTCTCCCTCCTCCTCTCATTCCTTCTCCTCCCTCCCTCCCCCTTTTCCCCTCCCTTCCTCCCCTCACGCTCCGCCAACCCGAGGCCAGTCAGTCTGCGACACGGATCTCTCCCTCCCCAAACCGGTTGCTTCTCTCCCCCCCCCCCTTTCACCCTTCTTCCTTCCTCCTCGTTTCCCCTTTTCTGATTTCTTGTTCCTTCTACTTATTTATTTTTCGCTTGTGTGTCTGTCTTTTTCATTTTTTTCTAGATTTATTCCCATTTATTTCCATCCTTATCATTTCCCCTCCTTATCTTTTATTCTTCTTCCTTCCTTTATTTGTGTCCAATCTTCCTCTCTCCCTTCCTTTCCCTGTCATCAATTTTCTATTTCCATTCCTCTAATCCTATTCCCTCTTCTCCCTGTCATATATCCTCTTTCTATCCCCCTCTCAGCATCTATTTTATCACCCTTCCCCCATTCTCTTTCCCCTTTCCTCCACTCCTCTTTCTTTATTCTATTCCCCCAATCCACTTCTTCCATATCCTCCTACCTCATCCTTTCTCCTACCAAGCCTCTCCCTTTTCCATTCCTATCCTCTTCTTCCCCTCCTTTCATCCTACTTTCCCTCTCTCCTCTTTCCTCCTCTCCATACTCCCTCTCCTTCCCTCTCTTCCGTCTCATTTACTCCCATCCCCACACATACCCCTCCCTCACATACCCCCCCTTCCGCCCCTCTCAAATACCCTCCCTACCTACATCTGCCTTACCCCCATACCCCTCTACCCCCCTCTCCCAAACCCTCCTAACCCCCCTTCTCCCATACTCTCCTAACTCCCTCTCCACTACCCTCCCTACCCCATCTCTCCCTTACCCCATACCCTCCTACCCACCTCTCCCATACCTCCATACCCTCCCTACCCCTACCCCCCCTCGCCCTCCCTTCCTTCCCAAAACGAAGCATTCCACAGCTGATCCCCGACAACTTCCAACAATGACAACACATCGTTTCTCGTGTTGTCACAAGAACTGCCGCGGGGGATTCTCATGGCTGTTGGCACGAGATTCGGTGTCAAAACAGTCTTAGAAGTGAGAGAAAGGAGAGAGAGAGAGAGAAGAGAGAGAGAGAGAGAGAGAGAGAAGAGAGGAGAGAGAGAAAGAGAGAGAGAGAGAGAGGGGGGGGAGGGAGGGAGAGAGAGAGAGAGAGAGGAGAGGAAGAGAGAGAGAGAGAGAGAGAGAGAGAGGGAGAGGAGAAGAGGAGAGAGAGAGAAGGGAGAGAGAGAGAGAGAGAGAGAGAGGAGAAGAGAGAGAGGAAGAAGAGGAGAGAGAGAGAGAGAGAGGAGAGAGAGAGAGAGAGAGAGAGAAAGAAGAGAGAAGAGAG